AGATTGTCTCAGCCACTTAACCTCATAGGTCTACAAGTGATCATGTATGTATCTCTCCTGAGGTAGGACAGCATAGCCAAAGGTTAAGATAACGAGTGACTCTAGATCCATTGAGGGGGTTCAAACCCTCCCCAAAACATGGCTGTCAAGTCTATTCTGACTCAGTGATCCAACAAGGCAGAGTAAAATTGCTCCTCAGGCTTTTCAAGGCTGTAAACCTTTATGAGAGCAGAATCCGACATCTTTCTCTTACAGAACACCTTGCTATTGAGCCAGTCCTGACTCAGTGACCCTATATGACCGAGACTCTAACCTTTTATGGGCGTAGCAAGCATTGCCTTTCTCCCTTGGACAGTTTTGAGCTGTTGACCTTGCAGTTGGCAGCCCAATGCACAGCACCACTACTCTCCCAGGCTCCTCTTTCTCGTGCAGTGGTTTGCTAGCACCACAACCCTTTAGCCAGCAGCTGAGCACTTAACCATCCACTGGAGGGATTAAGTATTATGAGTTAGTCATTCTCTGGTCCAATTCCGTGGCCTCAGTTTGAATTGTTTGAACTATATTTTACCATAAATTTTATAAGGCAGTCAAGGAATTTTTTAAAATGGAGTTTCACAGATAACTGAATTATGTGAACAAAGACTATATTTAATGATAAAGCCTATCAAATATTAGGAATTCATCTCCCCAAAGCAGCACTAGGATTAGTTCTCTCCTCATTTTCTATCTCTGTCTATGTCAGTATTGAAATAAATTCAGTTAATAATTGCTAATGAGTAGTTAAGTCAATCCACTATCTATCTGCTAATTTGTCATACTGTGATGACTTAGCTGTTGCTATGATACCGGAAGCTATGCCACTGGTACTTCAAATACCAACAGGATCACCTGTGGTTGACAGATTTCAACCAGAGGAGCCTCCCGTCTAAGAAGAAAGACTTGGTGATAGAGCTCCAAAATCAGTCAACGAAAACCCTATGACTCCAAACAGTGTTGGAGCATGATTCCTGCCGGTTGGAATGCACCTGAAATAATACAGTTGCTGCAACAATGGTTTCAAGCATAGCAACCATTGTGAAGATAATGCAGGACTGGGCAATACTTTCTTCTGTTGTTCATGGGATGAGGACTCACAACAGTCAACCCAATGGGGACTTTATCTTTCTCTTCTCACTTGACATCTCAGATGATTGCATGTAATATCCTCTTAAATATGCTCTTCCCGTGAGATGATCTGGTCCACTTTTTCGTCCTCAGCTACCACCCACATGTCAACAGTCTTCCGAACAAGCCATCAGTTCCAAGGACTCTGCCTCAGACCAAGCTCACACACTCCTGCTCTTTACCCAACGTTCTATTTCAGATAGAGCGACACCATCCCATCAGCTGATTAGTGAGAAACCCGTACAACCAATTACTTGTCATCTACTGACTAACCATCTCTGGAAACTGTGCACCTTTCCTGCTGCATGCTCATCCAAACCACCAGCATCTTTTTGGGGTTCCATGCTTCCCTTCACTCACCAAATTCTATTCTTTTTTTAAAAAAAATCACTTTATTGGGGCTCATACAACCCTTATCACAATCCATACATATGTCAATTGTGTAAAGCACACTTATACGTTCGTTGCCCTCATTATTCTCAAAACACTTGTTTTTCGCTTGGGCTTCTGGAATCAGCTCCTCATTTTTCTTTTTTTTTTCTTCTCCTCCCTTCCGTTCCCCCCTCCTTCATGAACTCTTGATAATTTATAAATTATTATTTTATCATATCTTATACTGCCCGACGTCTCCCTTCACCCACTTTTCTGTTGTCCACCCCCCAGGGAGGAGGTTATATGTAGATCCTTGTAATCAGTTCCCCCTTTCTACCCACCGTCCGTCCACCCTCCAGGTATCACCACTCTCACCACTGGTCCTGAGGGGTTCATCTGTCCTGGATTCCCTGGGTTTCCAGTTCCTAGCCACACCACTGTGCATCCTCTGGTCTAACCAGGTTTGTAAGGTAGAATTGGGATCATGATAGTGGGGGTAGGGGAGAAGCGTTTAAGAACTAGAGGAAAGTTGTGTGTTTCATCAGTACTACACTGCACCCTGGGTGACTCATCTCCTCTCCACTACCCCTCTGCAAGGGATGTCCAGTTGTCTACAGATGGGCATTGGGTCCCCATCCTGCACTCCCCCTCATTCACGATATGATTTTTTGTTCTTCAGCACCATCAGCCTTCTTCACCACACTTACTTATGCACACATTTGTCTTCAGCATTTATATGGGGAAGGTGAGCACACAATGATGGTTTTTGTTCTTTGGCGTCTGCTACCTGATCCCTTCAATACCTCGTGATCACACAGGCTGGTGTGCTTCCACCCTGTGGGCTTTGTTGCTTATGAGCTAGATGGCCGCTTGTTTACCTTCAAGCCTTTAAGACCCCAAACGCTGTATCTTTTGATAGCCAGGAACCATCAGCTTTCTTTACCACATTTGCTTATGCACACGTTTGTCTTCAGCGATCATGTTGGGAAGGTGCATATCATGGAATGACTGTTTAGTTGAGCAAAGTGTTCTTGTATTGAGGGAGTATGTGAGTGGAAGCCCAATGTCCATCTGCTACCCTACTACTAAACCTATAATATATGCACATAGGTCTATTTCCTCAAATTCTATTCTTACATAAGGCCACTTAGCTGATCTTAAAAACAAACAAACAAACAAACAAAAAAAAAAACCTTCTATAGCAGGGTCAAATTTTGACAGGTAACAATTTAGATGTGCAAAAATTAATTTTAAAAATTAGTTTTAAGTTTCTACCTGTAAGTGCCCATTTCTACTTACTAGCATTACATGATTTTCAATGAATCCTAATCAAGTTCAGTTGCTTCCAAACCACTTCAGGTTTCTGCCCCTCCTCTCGCGTCTCTCTGGGGGGCATTTAAGCTGGGTGGGGGCCCTTTTGCAGCTTCACAGCGTTATTAGGGAGGGACTACTTGTCCTATAGCTGTGCTTGGCTCCTGGATGGCACGCTGTTAAGAGGAACTGGACCTTTGTCATCTCTGTCATGTCCACTGTGAGTCTCGATGTCCTTTCCTAGTCCATGCTTTTGGTTGTCCAGTCAGATCCCTCTGTCTTTCTGCTACGTCATACACCATTTTTGGCACTCTCTCTGCTAATCTCTGGGACACGGGATCATTAAAAAAAGGTATTCCCTCTAAGCCCCAGGGGTTAAAGAAATGTTAAAGCTACAATTCTCTCCATGTTAACTAAGAACTGATTTCTGACATTTTTTTTCACACTGCCATTGAGTTCATACTGACTGAGAAACACCCCACCCCCACCCCGTGGGTTTCTGAGACCGCAACTGTTCATGGGAATCAAAAGCCCCGTTTTTTTGTTCCCTTAGAGATGCTGGTGGTTTGAACTGCCTACCATTAGGATCTCAGCCCACTGAGTAACCACTACACCACCTTAGAGTAAAAAAAAAAAAGCTGTAACATCTGAACAAATGAAATGAGCTAATTTGACTTCCTTGTAACATTCTTCTGCTGGTCAGGCCTATTCAAGGGCCCGTCCACATTCAAAGGTGACGTCCTGGTGAGACATTAGCAGCCTTTCCTCCGTCCCAGTGTGGACTGGGATGAGCTGTGTGCACACGGACTGAAGCCTGGCTTCCCTGCGCTACTCCGTGTCGCCACAGTAGCGGGGCGGCTGTCTGTCCGTGCGAACCAGCGAGGACGAGCAGCCCCTAGAGGTGTCTTCCTCCCTGCGCTGGCTCATTCCCTTTCCAAGCCTCCTCCCATCTCTCCAGGAGCACTCTGGTCCCGTTTCCTGGCAACAGTGACCCTACCAGGCCTGTTTCTGGCTCTCCCTCTACCTTGCCAAGGGCTCTACTCACAGAAGAAGTTCTGGAGGAGGGCCAAGGAGAAGCAGTGGGTGCAGAGCCCTGGTAAGGCTTTTTTTCTCCTTTCCTTTTTCTTTTTCTCCCCAAAGCATCATCACCATCCTTGACTTGAAAAAATGTGGCAGATAATTTGTTAAAGCATTAAAAATATTTTCTCTTCGGCCCATATGAGGCTAAACACCCAATGTACCAATTAGTATTTTCTTGTCTCGGGGATTTTTTTTGCAGGGCAGAAATCAGAGGCTTTGTGAAATCAGCAGCATTTGTTTTTTACCCCCTCCCAAGGTTACATTCCCTGTGGAGTACGAACATAGTTAATAGCCTGACCTGAGAAGGGAAAGGTTGCACGTTCCAGTGCTGTCCTATAATGGATGGGCTGCCATCAACTCGATGGCAGCGAGTTTGAGCTGGATTTGGGGCTCTTCACACCACTCTGGAGAGGGAGGGCCCTGGTCACACCCGAAATCACCTCTCCCGGGTAGGGGAGAAGAAGGAGGGTGGAGTATGGCATAGGATGATTTAAAACAAAATGAAATGAAACAAACAAACAAACAAAACATGGTATTTCTTTTGCACACCTTGGTAGGTACCCCTGAACTTAGATTTGGATTCCCCACATTCCGTTGTCAAGATTTTTTGACATCAATAAAAGAAATAAAAATGCCCATCCCATTGATGTATGTATGGATTGTGATAAGAGTTGTATGAGTCCCTAATAAAATTATTTTCAAAAAAAAAGAAACAAAAAAAAAAGTTCATCCCTTTGTAAAATGTGTACCCCGAAGCCCTCTCTACTGCACTCCTTCCTAGTCCCCTCTGGTTTCATATACCAAGTTTAGTTAAAAAAAAGTACATTAATCAAAGACCTAAAAAGGATCAGAAGCATGAAGTCAGGAGGAGGGAGGCGTGTAAACCATTCTGGAGGGCACGTAACTGCTCATCAGAACCGGGAAGAGATGACCCGACTCCGCTCGCCAATACAGTGAGAACAAGAGCCACCGAGGACCCGCCATAGACAAAAGGTGGGAGACTAGCAGAGCCAAAAGCATCGGGCATTTCCTTTTCCTTCCCGAGGGGCTCCGACACTCACTACTGCATTTACCTGAGAGGCCCTGAGGAGAAGAGCCCCATTTCCTAAGCGGCTCACGGGGAGAGGCATCCAGACGGAGCGGCTTCAGTTGTCGGGACACAATCATCTCATTCAGTTTTTTCTGCAGAACAAAATATTCTTCAGATAGCTTTGATATCTAAAAATAAGGTCATGGGTCACATTAAATTGGAGAAAGGAATGTAGCCAGCAGTACTGAGGACAACTGGGCTGTGATCAATGCCTAGCAATGGGCCATGGGGCTTGGATGCTACACAATCTTTCTCCAGGAGTCGTGGTGGGTGGGTGGTCTAATAAAATGCCCCCTTTCCCCCTGGTGTTTCTTGCCCACCTCACATTTACCCGTGAAAGCACCAAGAATGGCATGCTACATGCCAGTCCGCTTCTCCCGGGTTTCTGTGCTCACCTTCGAGACGTGATTGCCTGTGTGCCTTTAGCCAGGCACCTCCCTCCCTGCCACCTCCGACTACCTTCACCACCCTCCCTCCTCCACCCTGGCAGTCTGAATAGTTTGGCTTCAGGACTATCCCTCCTCTGGCTCCTCCCTGCAGGCCCATTTCTTTTGAGCACCCCTGCTGTTAACGTGACCCTCCTGGGACAGCGTGCGGGACCTCTTTTCTTCTGCCTCCAGCCTTGACCCACGATGCATGTCTCAGTCACTCGGTATTGCCTCAGAGCCGGTCTGATTTGGTGTCAGAGTAAAGAAATTTAGGTTCAAATGAGAAGAAGTACTATTTTACTCAGGGATGCTGTATATTTAAAATGCCCTCTTTTCATAGACTTGGGGGTCGGAGGGTAGAGGAACAAGTTGGGTTCAGTAAATTAATTAGAGAATTCTATGGGCCCCTGGAAGTTGGACCTGCTTGGACCACAGTTTTAAACACCAAGGAACATGTCCAAGGGTAGGCATTGCAGTTTTCGCATGTGTTTGGGCAACATCAGAAACAAAATACAGAGTTTAGGGATGCTTCCTGGAACTAAGCCATTATGATGTCTTGTCTATCGTTTCATGCACCTTAGACTTACCATGCGTCCATATGAATTTATAATGTGCATATTACAGCCATTTAGTTAAAACCCAGCATTTGACACAGGAGAAAACTGAGGTGCTGGTGTATTAAGTGATTTTCTTAAGTCCAGCTGCTCATCAAGAGAGAGCAGGGCCTGGCAGCAAGATTACAGGGTTCCAGTCCCTTGATTTTCCCCCAGTGCTGGGTTCACTTAGACTAACTTACCAGAGTCCCAACTGTAACCAAGAGAAGCCCTGCGCCCATTTTTCCTTTGAGCAAGAGCGTTGACCCAGGCCTATTTATAGAAATATCCCTGAAACGTAGCTTGAGACATTCTCCAAGAAGGATTATTAATAGTTGTCTTTTATGGTTCTTCATTGTTATGATAAACCATAGAAACATACATTTTCAGCACCTCATTATGGCCACATATCTATTTTTTGATATGTAATTATGTTTTCCCAAATAAAATTTTGGCCCAGAAGAAAGCATAAGCTATTAGATTTAGAAAACTCACACACACTCTCTCTCTTCTTCTCTTTTATTTAGAGACAATGAGAGCTCACAGATAAGTAACCATTTGCCTTGCAAAATATCAGCATTTCAGGAAGCTGCATATTTGAGTAAACCAATTCCTAGTCCCCTTATGAAATAATATCTCTATGGAATTTTGAACTGTTAAAGCACAGTCTCAAACAAAAACAAAAAGACAAAACTCACTGCCATTGAGTCAATTCCAACTCACAGGGACCCTACAGACAGAGTAGAACTGTCCCTGTGGGTTTCTGAGACTGGCACTCTTTATACGAATAAAAAGCCTCATCTTTCTCCCTTGGGCAGATGGGTGGTTTAGATCTGTGGATCTTTTGGTTAACTACCCAATTTGTAACCCACCATGCATAACCTGAGCTCCTTATTATATCCCAGGAGATTGGTTTAAAGCAGTTAACTTATTAACTGGTTATTTCAATGGAACAACCCTTGATACACTTTATTAAACAATTTTTAGAATCTTATAAAAGCAGATGGAAACAATATTTATCAGGGATGAATTATCATTAATCCAGTTACTGAATCGTTCCTAGATATTTTTCGTGGGACAGACATTTATTAACATACCTGCTTTGAAAAAACTGCCAAAGCACTCGCTTCCTTGTCCGCAGTTGCTTTGGAATCTTGCTCGTCTCTCATGTGAAAATGAAAGGCATCTTCATGATTGACGGGGCAGGAGCGCACGGCATGAGCATGTCCTGTGACTTCCTTTGGGGCTGTCACCATCTCTTGATTCTTAAAGGAAGAGGAGAGTACCCCGTCCTTTCTTAATTCCGGCCTTCTCTTATAATCCCGGTATTTACTCTGGATGAATATTGCTGCTTTTTCTTCTTCTACCAGGTCTGGAATCACTTGCTCATGCTGCCTTCCTCTGACTGTCCCATGCCTCTGTTGGCTCTTCTCCTGGCTGCATACTGATGCATTCTGGGTAACCACAGATACCTTCTTTTCTTTTTCTTGGCCATTTGTATTTTGGTAAGTAGACTGTTGGCTAAGGCGGGGTTCCAAAGAGCTTTTGAATGAAGGCTGCTTAGTCCCATTCTCAGCGAGCCAAAGTCCTGAGTAGTCTGCTCTTTCTGAAGTGCCCTTCCTCTCTAGATACGCCATTTTTGAGTCTTCAAAATTTCTCTCCTCTGTGTACCTCTGGTAGTAACTCTGGATCACAGCGTCCTCTTTCTCCATTTTCCTCGTTTTAGTGCCGTCGTCCAGGTCTCTGATATACTTCTGCTTGGGGTTCGATTCTGCCCAAGAATCCCTGACAGGGTACACGTCTTGCTTAGCTGCTTCCTCGGATACGTTGTTCATTTTGTTCTCTGTTTGATGTCCCCAGTAGTTACTCTCCACCACACGAATGACTTCGTTCTCACCTTTGAAAGAAGATGTCTTCACTACAGTTGTGACGCCTCCATTGTTGGGAGCCGGGGCCCGTGCTTCTTTAGAGGAGATGGAGTTTTCTGTTTGTTTCTTCAAAAAGGACTCCCTGCGTAAAACACACTGCATCTGAATACACGATACCCCAAACTGAAGCTTTTTACATTCTTGGCCATAGTTACGTGCTATGTCGTGTTGGAAAAAACCCAGAAAGACTCAAAACCAGAACTTAGCAAGTCACCCTCGTCAAGCATTTTGCAAAATGTCCTCTCGAGCAATACCTGAGAGGGCTACTCCAATCACGAGACCGTCAGTTCCGCGTTAAAGCGGGCAATATCCTAGCATTTGAATAACCACAGCCCCATTGTAATCAGGGATCGAAAATCCTAGAGATGGAATCCCTTCAAAATAACGAAGGCGAAGTGAGCCAACTGAGACCTGAAGTCAGCCACCAGGGTCTGTCCAGCAGGCTGCCATTCTGAACACCAGCTATGGCTTAGAAAGTTGAAGGGAAAACTGTGTCACCGCTCCCGTTTGTGACCCTGCAATATTGTCCCGCCAAGTTTCACAGTGGTACCTCGTCAATGTCTCCCACCATAATTCCTCCTAACTTGAAGGCAAGATGTTCACTCTACTGAACTCCATCCCCCAGCCAAGGTCACGCCCGCCTGTACAGGAGCCCGCCAGCCATGAAAAGTGTGACACGAGGGACCAGAGTAGTCATAACCGGACACCCTCGTACACTCCCACTGATACTTGGGAAACGCTTTGCCAGATACATTTGATTTGGGGCCAGGAAAGCCATGAGGAAGTTTTGCAATGTTTGCAAAGAAAGGTTCCGTCAGGCCCCTCCACCTCTCCCTTCTCCAGCCTTTCTCTCTCCTGCCTTTGAGCTTCCCTCCATGCTCTCCTTGGCCTTTTTTAAATGTCTGACATCTTGGTCTATGTTCCATGACAGTCCCATCAACATCAAAGTTCCATCCAAGACCCAAGTTGAGACGGCTTCTTCTTTACATGTGTGTTCCCTGATAGGAATCCTGTAGATAGTAAAGACTTAGCAAGTATCTGCTAACTTGACAGAAGAAAGGTGGTAGCATCTGACTTCTTTATTACATGTATTCTTGAAAAAATGTTAATATCAATAAGTAGTAATATAAATTTTACAAGTAGTAATGTAATGTCTAGGCATGGTGAACTAAGTGTCTCTCCATTAGCAACCAGAGTTTGCATTTCCCTTAGACCTCTGAAGAATAGGAGTGACAGGTAACATCTACCTGCCTGCTCTTGACATCAGCATATGGCCCCTGTGAGCTTTATTGGACTGTTTGGCAGCTCAGGGCACAACATTTCTCATGTGGTCCCTTGCAGACCCAGAGAAAGGACACAGATCAGTTGTGTTGTGATGTTGATTGACTTGGATGGTCTTGCAGGCTGGGTAAAGGTGAGAGGAAAAGATGGCAAAGACACCCAGAGAGCTTGGATCAGCCATGGGGCCAACTTTGGATGAAGGAAAGCAGGGGGGTGGATGCTGGCGTGTGTGTGTGTGTGTGTGTGTGTGTGTGTGTGTGTGTGTGTGTATGTGTGTATGTGTGTATGTGTGTGTGTAGGATCTCATCTCTTCACTTTTGTGGTGTCCACTTCTGATGTAAAAGACAGGGGTCTGAGCTTGAACTGGAATGACCTTTATACTTCCTGGCACCCCTAGTCATCTTTCTGCCAATTCAAGTTTCACCAGGTAGGCAAAATACAGACATTTTCTCTACCCCTAATACCCACCAAGGAGCCCTGAGGCTACAGTGGTTAAGCAAGCACTCAGCTGCTAACTGAGAAGTCCAACAGTTTGAACTTAGCGGTGACTTCACAAGAGCAAGGTACAGCGCCCTAGTTCCATAAAGATGACCGCCTTGGAAACCGGAAGGGGCAGGTCTCCTCGGACCTATGGGGGGGGGGGGCTGTGAGCCAGAATCAACTTGGTGGCAGTGGATTTGGCGTGCGTTCACAGTATCCACTGAAGACAGTAGGGTTCCCTTCTCCATGTCATGACACCATTTGCATATTTCTATAACAGGCTTCACCCATTTTACTAGAATCATGATTTGTCGGCATTATTTTCCATGAATCTGTGAGATATCTGAGGATAAGGCTTTCGTCTCATTGATTTACGTGTCTCCATTGCCTGGCATAGAGTCCACTGGATGAAGGAATTCTGGTGGATCTGCTAACATCCACTGGTATGGAGGCTCAGGAGAGTAAAATATAGGCAGTAAATATGACAAGTTGTGGTTAATAACAACCATCAGAATGAAGGAGAGAGCCCAGGGACATTATTGAGGTGTGGAGGAGGTTTTAGATGTGTGGAGATGGGGTAGAATTAGCAAAAGACACTCAGTATTAGGAGAAATCTAGAGACCAATTTGACAGAAGCTAAGTGTTATAAACTGGATTGTTTCCCAAAATTATGTACAGAAGTAAAGGCACTTATACCTGTGGATAGAGGATTTTCTGTTATGTGAGTTAAGCCATCACAGAATGTATGGGTCCCCTACACACTCACTTCTGAGTTATGAAAAGAACAGAATAAGCACAGCGACACACATGGGGGGAGGGGAGAGAGATGTCCAAGAATGCCAGGGAATGCCAAGGAACCGTGGGTGCCTCCAGAGTGACTTGCGAGGAAGAACATCATGCTGGAGATTTGATTCAGACTTGAAGGCGCCTTAGCTGTGACAAAATAAAGTTCTTCAAAGGCAACCCTTTCTGCTATTTTGATCACAGCAACGGGGTAACTAAGGCACCAAGGAAGATGATAAAACTTTGAGAAGGAAAATGTGTTCATCAGTGTGAAATTCCAGCAACCCCCCAAAAGGAGTAAGAACACAAAAGTGGCCACTTGATGCACCAGTTGTCGAAAACAGACAAGGCTGTCAGCATTATCCTGTGACATCCCATTTAAGAACTGGATACATCAAAAGAGTGTGAGAATAAACATGGCTATACCTTTTATTTTCAAAGTTTTCCTTGTAGTCAAATTCTTGACCATGATGAAGGGTGGCCACTGCTGTGTTTTCTGTGTCAGCAGTTTCTTTTCCTTGCTTCCTGACTAGGTGTCTCCTTGCAGCTGCAACATACGAGGCATAGAGGGGCAGTGTTAATAAGGAATGCAGTACATTGCTGAAATGAACAGAAACAAGTTTTATTTTTTAATATGTGACCACCACCGAATATCAAAGAGGAAAATGAAAATAAAATCACATATAGAAGAGGCTTAAAAAATATGGAAATTATATGTGACTCTTCCAGATGATAAGCTATAGCAAAAGAAGAGCTAAAGGACTTTTTGTACTAAAAAATGTACTAAGATGAAACTAAAGTAATAGAGATGGATTAAATTGATGACCAAGAAAACAGGTTTTCATTTGTGAGTAAATATTTTCATTTACTTTTTTCAATATTCAGCCCTTCATAGAAGAGAACTCTTTTGTAAATATATGTTTGTGGTCTTTTGGTCAATCTGCTCTTTGAGGTCAGAGATAGTTCAGAATTCAAAATTTTTTATTTTATTTTAGGAAGATAACACAGGGGAAGTATCATGCTTTGCATAACTTTCAGTGTAGCAAATATTCTGTAGCAACATGAAGGATGCTGGAGTTGTTACTGTGTCACCTGCAGATCACAGGTTGCCAACAAGCCTTCCCCCAAATCCACTGCCACATTCTTCCACATACTGTTCAGCTTCATGGATTATTTGTTCAGCAGATTGATTGAATGAAATGGTGCAAGGACACAATCCTGATGCACACCTTTCTTGCTTTTAATCCACTCAGTATTTCCTTGTTCTGTTGGAACCACTGCCTCCTTGTTCAGGTACAGGATCTGCGTGAGCAAAAGGAGTCCTGTAATTCCAGGTCTTCTTGATGCTAACATAGTTTGTTATGATCCCCGTAGTTGAATGCCTATGCAAAGCACAAGTAGACATTACAATAGTATTTTTTTACTATCAGGCAAGAACCACCTGACATCAGCAATGCCACTGCTCATGCCGTATCCTTATGAGTCCATCCCGATGCACCGATGAAACCCCTGTTGAATGTTTTCAGCAAAATGTACCTGTGATATTAATGATGCTGCTAAATAATTACTGCAGGGGTCACCTGCCTTTGGAATGGGCACAAATATGGATTTTTCCCAGTGTGTTACCAGGTAACTCTCTCACCACTTTCTTGGCGCAGACCAGTACACGCTCCAGTGTTTCACTGGTACAATGACTGTGTGCAAAGCTTCCATCTTCTTTTGCTGCTCCCAACATTGTTCAATATTTTGCTCAAAGAATCTTTTCGTATTGGAACTTGAGGCTTGGTTTTTGCCCCCCTTCAGTTCTGTCAGCCTGATACGTGCAGAGCAATTTCTTTTTATGATTTTCTAACTCTACGTCTTTGTACACTTTATTGTAATCCTTGATTTTGTCATATCAAGCTGCCCTTTGAAATGTTCTATTTAGCTTTTTTATTGCATCATTTCTTTATTTGCTCCACCGACCATGAGCAAGTTTCAGAGTCACTTCTGACATCCATTTTGATCTTGTTTCCTGCCTTTTTAATGATGTTTTGCTGTCGTCATGTATGGTGTCCATGATTGTCACCCCAAAACTCATCTTCTGTCATTAGTATTCAAAGAGTCAAATCTATTCTTGAGATGTCCCTGAAATTCAGGCAGGCCACACTCAAGGTCATATTTGGTCTCCTGTGAACTTGTTTTAATTTTCTTCAACTTCAACTTGAACTCAAATATTGGAAATTGGTGGTCCATTCCACAGTCAGCTCCTGGCTTCATTTGGCTGCAGATATTGAGCTTCTCCGTTGTTTCATCCTACAGATATAGTCAATTTGCTTCCTGTGTATTCTGTCTGTCGAAGGACATGTGCTTAGTTACTGTGTATGTGGTTGAAAAATGGTATTTGCAAGGAAGAAGTCATTGGTCTCACAAAATTCTATCATGCGATCTCCAGCTTAATTTCTATCACTAAAGCCATATCTTCCAACTACTATTTCCCTTTGGTTTCCAACTTTTGCATTTCAATCACCAATAATTATCAATGCATCTTGATTGCATGTTTGATCAATTTCAGGCTGAAGAAACTGGTAGAATTCTTCATCTCCAGCATGAATGACTGGTGCAGAGTCTGCGTCACAGTTTTGTTAACTGGACTTCCTGGGATATGTACAGATATTCTCTCACAGACGAAGAGAGATCTTGAAATATTCTTCTTGACAATGAATGCATCGCCATTCCTTTGGAATTTGTCATCCTCAACATGGTAATCCATATGATTGATTCAGAATGGCTAATGCCAGTCTATTTCAGCTCACAAATGCCCACATATCAATCTTTATGTGTTCCATTTCATTTTTTCTAACTTTCATTTAGATCCATACAATGTACACTCCATGCTCTGATAATTAATGGATGTTTGCACCGACTAGTTCTCATTTTGAGTCGTAATCTCTCAGTAAACGGAGACCCTGGAAGCTTGCCTCCATCCCCATCACGATGGCTGACTCTAGTCGCGAAGGCAGCTCTTCCTCAGTCGTGTTTTGCGGGTCCTGGCCCGAGAGGCTCATTCACGACGCTGCATCCGGCAATGCTGTCCTCGTCACAAGGTTTCCAGTATCTGCCGAGGTCCCACTACCACTCCTAAGATTTTCAGAGACGATCACTCAAGTGGACAACCTACCCCTTTTTCATATTCTGCTCTCCGTCTGCAATCGCCACGGGAACCTGCTCACCCTGGAATCCCTGCTGGTGTCTGAAATACCAAACACAGCTTCCAGCATTCCAGCACCCCGTAAACCACTGGAGTAGAACAGACTGACAGTCAAGTAACCAGATGTTCTACAGACAATGTGTAGGGTGTTCTACTAAGAGGGCTGCATAAGAGGTCGTGATTCACTGCCACGTAAGTTATGAAAACTCTTTTCAGAGAGATTTATGTATTTTGAATTGTACCTATGGGTTACCTCTGAGGTGCCAACTGTCAGGGCTCTCTTTTTTTATGTTGGGTGTTAGTGAGATCCTAAGGACTGAAAATTCAAAAAAAGGATGAAAACGCATTACTTGTGGATCTAATAGGGACCGGACAGTGAGTGTGCTATTAGTCAGCTCCTCTGTCCATCGCCCCTGTGTTCTTTAGAACCATTAGTGGCTCTACCGTCCATAAAGGAGACGGGTTGGAAGGAGAAACTCTCAGACTGCATATTGCCTGCCATATTGATGTGTGCCAGGTTATAAAGAAAACGCTATTTTGGTTCTCATGGATGCCCAATGAAAAGATTTTGAAAAGCACGATACAAAGCCATTCTAGATTCTAAATTTTGTTTCTGATAGAAACATAGACAGTGGAATGCAAAGGCCATTAAAATAATTTGTCATAAAAATTTAAAGTGAAGTGTGATTATAAATACAATCTCCCTACAGTCAACAGAAAGAAATGGATGCCCTTTAACAACAAGAGATTCAATCAAACTGTCAAACAAAACAAAACAAAAAATCATGGCAAGGGTAACCTTTTGAATAAAACAGAAAAAAAAAAACAACAGAAAACAAAGCACAAAACCAAAACTCTCTTATTGTCCAATGAGTGAGAGAGATGATTCTTGAGGTATTGTAATTAAGCCAATCACACATCCCATCTTCCACAAACGATAAATTGTGTTACATTAAGACTAGCCGGCATATTTTATCATTAAAAACCTTGTTTAAAACAAAACATTTCTCCCAGTATTAAAAGTGTCAATCACTAAAACCATCTGATTAGATTTTGTTTAGAGAACAGCATCAGGGCCACACAGTCTGGAGTGAAACACACAAACTATGTCACAACGGCAGATGTGTACCTAACAAGCAGTTAAAGATTTGATCTCATACCCATATCTCATCTTAATACCGAGGGAGTTCCTGAGTGGCTCTACAAGTTAGGTGCTGAACTGCCAGCTGGGAAGTTGATCGTTCCAAGCCCCCAGCGGGGCTTTGGAAAGCAGCGCTGACACTGCTTTTGAGAGGTCACTGCCATGAGAACCCTCTGCAGCAGTCCTACACTGCACACGTGGGGCTGGCAGGACAGCAAGTGCCACCCCACACACCCCACGAAGCTTTGTTCGACGGTGAGGTGGTAGGTGAGTACCTGATTGTATTATCAGAGCGCTTGTTTTTCTTTTCGCTTGTATTTTGTGGTACCTTCTTGAGCCCAGGAATCCTCTGATACAGGCTTGAGTCAAAATCAGCTTGTCAATGGTTTCCTTTCTCATTAAATTCAACTGCTCCACATGATAATATTTAAGGAACACCTTCAATGAATCAAAATAAAATACAATAAAATGACGGCACTCAGGTAAGAAACAGTCACGAGCTGTGCTTTGGAAAAAGACTAGGTTCAGAATCGTCTTAGATTGGGGCAATCACTAACTTTTGCTCCTTTGGCTTGGATAGTGCTATGGCATTTTACACTTTTATGCTTGAGGAAGATCTCTCCTTGAGCAGATATGCAGATGATGTTAGTTTTACTGTTTAATAGGCAACTTTAGGTTTTGATGGCTGGGTCAACAAGGCTAATGGATGTTGAGTTATTTCATCAAAATTTTATCACCATAAACTAAACCAAAACCACTGCCATAAAGCCATCAAGTCAATTCTGACTCGTAGATACAGGGCCTCACTGGTGTTCTACTCTTTAGGGAGCAGTCTCATCTTTTCCCAATTTAGTGACCGATGGGTTTGAACGGCCAACTCTGAGGCCAGCAGTGTGGATCTTAACCTGACTGCACCACCGACGGCAGTGGGTTTTTAAAAAAACAACACCAAATCAAACCCACTGAAATTGAGTGGATTCCCACTCCTGGTGACTTGATAGGGCAGAGTAGTATGGGGGTAGCTAGTCCCCCACAACAAATCACGGGTTCAGTAAGCGCAACTGTACGGTTAAGATATATAAAGATTATAGTAAAGTCATAGGAAATAATAGGAGAGAGTAAAATAAAGAAGTCAGGCACATTTCATGGTAGCATGCTCACCTCAGTTCCTCTGGGTGGTACAGGGCAGGAGAGAGAGCAGCAGAGATTTATTGCTAACCAAGCCTTATATATCTTTAGGGGTATGTGTGCCTAATTAAAGGTAAAGACATACGTCACAGGAAAGGGTTGTACGATAGGCAATACAAGCAATAGGAGGGGGAAATACAATGGGCATAAGCGTAACAGGAAGGGGATGAGCTAGGGGAGTACACATGATAGGAAGGGGAGGGACTAGGGTATACATGTGACAAGAAGGGCTCACCCTAGATTGATGATGGCAGCCTAACCTTGGTCACCCGTGAGTGGGCTTGACTTCCCTGGGCTCTCCTACAAGGAAACAATCTACTACTGTCCTTATCAGAAGAGAGTGGGCCCCACTTACGGTGGGACAGACTACAGAATCAGATTGTTCTGGATGGCTGACAACCCTTAGGGAGAATAACCTCTGACCTGCTTTCGTTGACCTCCAAGTGTAGTCCTTTGCCAGGTGTAGCAAGCAGCTAGGTCTGGCATACGTTTGGGGGAGACAACATGGGAGAACTCTTTCTGTTTCCCACAGAGTAGAACTTGCCCTGTGGGTCCCAAGGTTTTTCATCTTTATGGGAACAGAGAGCCTCATCTTTCGCTCTCAGCACAGCTTGTCGTTTTGCAGAGCTGACCTGTGGGTTTGATTCAGAACGCTCTGTGCTACCAGGCCTCAGAGACACTAGGAAAAACCAATTTTTACAACTATTGTTTTCTTAAAGACAATACTATCTTCTAAGTATAGATAATAATGATAGCTACATTAGTTCGCCCATCGGACATTCATTGAGATCTATCATACATGACCTTAGGAGGTCTGGCAGTGATGTCTTGTAAGATTCACAACTGCAGTGTCAGTGGTTCAAGCCCACTAGATACTTCACAGGAAAAAGATGGGACTCTGACCTCAGAAGATGTATAGCCTCAGAAACCTGTAGCAAGTTGCTGTGCACTGGAATACCCCTGATGGCAGTTGGTTTGTAAGTCTGTATCCTCTGGTTCTAAGTCTGTATCCTCTGGTAAATAAGGCAGGTGCTCACTGAGCCCTAAGGGGACTCACTGTGTGGTCACTGGGGAGAGAATAAGGCGGAGAAGAGGCCACAGCCAGAATCAAACAACGACTTTCTCACTCGGTCCAATGATGACCTTGGGTAAGGAAGGCTGCCTCTGGATAATTCTAAGATCAAAATGAGTCAGAGTAAGAAAGGGGTTTGAAGGAAGGCTGGGAACTGTGCCAATCACAGAATTTTCAACCCCCCAGAAAGCAATAGGGAGTGCCCCCTCCCTTTGCTTTCTTTAAAGGCTAAATTTATTAGTAATAGTCACTTCACAGAGAATGTATTAAATTCGCTAAGAAAGCCACTTGACCTCAAATTTAATAGCTGAGTCATGAGGCGTGGTGACCCCTGATGGCAGAATTCGCCTAACATTCCATTGCTTAAAAGCTTGGCACCAAGGGCAAATGGCTCAGCGTCAAATGGCTCAGCGTTACAGGTTTTGATTGAATCTAGTTTTAATTTCTACAGGGCTCCCGATGCAAATATATTTAGTCCATTCTGCTGTTGACAATTCATTTAAAATTCAATCTGCTTAAAAAGGTCATCTTCGTTTCTACACAGCATTAGAAATGTTTCTATATTAAATATTTGTATCCATCTTAATGAGTTGGGAAAGGTGAAGTGGAAAAATACAAATAACTCTTAAATGCTACTTAAATACCACACTGAGCAGGAACCTCAAAGGATGCTTTCGCTAGTTAAAACTCCATTTGAATTTCGGCATGTGCTTCAGACCACAAACCCTATCAGATTTCAGCCCCATGGAGTTCCTCTCTGTGAGCATCTAAGAGAAAAGGAGGCAGCTGTGGTGAGCAGTGGTTAGCCGTGGGCCACCCCAGCGAGGGGCTTTCCACTCCCATAGTCACAGCCTGGGAAACCCAACCCGCTGGGCAGTCCTCCTCTGTCCTCGGTCACCAGGAGTTGCAAGGGGCTGGATGGCCGTGCGCTTGAAAACGCTGTGATTGGCGCACTATAACGCGCAGTCTTCGATGCACAGAGTGGAACATGGAAGTAGGTATGGAATACTGAACGTGGAGGGCACTCAGCCTCCGACAGGCACTTGAAAGCCTTCCCCGTCATTTCCTAAACAAGCCCTTATGGGTTCCACACTGAACCTTCGTCGGACGCTCGGACAACTCTCTCCTGCACCTCCTACTCTGAGACAGCCATGGCGCTACACGTGGCGGGCTTTGCACTTGTGGACGTCCATTTTCGTCTGTTTCTGTGTTGTGGCCGAGAGTGGTGATTCTCCACCCTCCGAGTACTTCCGTTTGCCTATTTTCCCACCCCATTCTCCCGTGATACACGTAATGCTCCCGTTAGACACGGTGCCCTGTTTATTTCTTTTTGATCATCTTCTTGTGCCTTAAGGATATACCCAAACCGAACACTCCTTTTTCTAAGCATTCACTTGTATTCCATATTCAACATGGGTGATACTTTCTTACTTCATCCTCTAAGGCAGTGGTTCTCAACCTTCCTAATGCCATGACGCTTTAATAGAGCTCCTCATGTTGTGGTGATCCCCCAATTCTAAGATTATTTTTGTTGCTACTTCATAACTGTACTTTTGCTACTGTTATGAATTGAACAACCCCTGTTAAAGGGTTGTTCAACCCCCAAAGGGGTCACCACCCACAGGCTGAGAACTGCTGCTCTAAGGGATTAAAGAAGCTCACATCTTACAGGGTCTCAAATCTAATACATAAATGCATCTTTTCCAAATACCACAGATACTGAGTCAAATAATAATGATGAATATGTTACTCAGATACATTTCAAATCTACCATAGAAGCAGATTTGAGAATTAGAAGTGGAAAAAAAACCCCACAGGAATTCTACTTTGATCACTATGATTCTCTATAGTTTTGTTTTGTTTCCTAAACTCTATTTGGTGCTGATATAATCAATATGCATATTATCTGAAGTAAAGTTTCATTCTTTTAAAAATGATCTTCAAGATAATGTTTTCTTGAATTTCATCTAAAAATTTTTTAGGAAGAATAAAAGTTTTCCATTTTGATGAAGAAGGAACCCTTGTGAATGTATATCTTTATAGCCCCCATTTTTCAGCTAGCCATTCAGTTCAAATATGAATCGTGAAGTATAGTTGTCAGTACATCCTACATAACTGCTGAAATGTCCTTCTGTACAGTGGATGGATGGGCACATTCATTACTTTTGTTTTTCCAAGAGTCCAGTGCTCAAGACCCACTTTCTCCAGAATGGTGGCACAGGTGTCCGGACTCACTGGGGGCTCTTCATCCCACTTGTAGCAGAGAATGCAGTACCTTAAAATGGAAAAAGGGGCTGATTAGTGGGGTACAAAGGTCTGGAGTCTCAGGGGCTGGTAGACACCGGGCAGGTTTGTGCAGGGAGGACAAAGGGATCCCCCAAACTTCAGACAGAGTAATCCTACGCACATTCTCAGAACCACCCACAAATAGACTGAATTCCAGACTGATGAGAACCTGGAGCAGTCCATTTGAGCAAATTTGAGTACTTCTTTCCACTTTAGTAATTGCTTTTCCACCCTTTACCCTGAAGTCATTGATAAAAAACCCTTCCCCCTAAAGTAAACATACAAACAAACACACATAAACAACAGAACATATCTTCACTGGGATCTGAAAAAGCCAAAGAAAACAAACTTTCTCTGGGCGCTGAAAACAAAAGTGAGAGGAAGCAGAGAAAAATTTTATTCCTCTTTTCACCTTGAGGAAAACACTTGAGTGCAGATGTTTAATTTAACCCAATAATTGTAACTAATATGACTTGATGACAATTTAGTTATCAATTAATCACTTGATGTTACATATATCAGCTCAATTAGTGTCATACCACAAATAGGCAAATGCTCTTATTTACCCAAGCCACGACATTCCATCGTCTCCTACGCATGCGACAGCTGGAGTCTGGTTAAGGAAGACCGAGGAAGAACGGACGCATTTGAGCGACGGTGCCGGAAGCAGAGTGAAAGCACGTGGCTGCCAAAAGCCCACACCCAGCTGTCTTGGAAGAGCAGCCAGAATGCTCCTGAGAGCGGTGGTTCCCCACCTCCTCATGCCGCGACCCTTTCATGCAGGTCCTCGTAGTATGGTGAGCCCCAACTACATTATTTTCATTGCTACTCATCACTGGAAGTTTGCTACGTTATGAATCATCATGTAAGTATCTGATAGGCAGGCTATATTAGCCGACCCCTGTGAAAGGGTCCTTCGACTCCCAAAGGGGTTGCAACCCACAGGTTAAGAACAGCTGCTTGAGGCATAGATGGTGAGAATTGGCACCATGGACATGTTCTCAGGAGACACTAGTCCCTGGAAAATGGACATCATGCTTAGTGAAGCAGAGAGGTGGCGGAAAAGAGGAAGACCCTTGGCACGATGGATCGACACAGCTGCAGCAACAATGGGCTCACACAGCAATTGTGAGGATGGCTTGGGGACAAAGCAGTGTCTTGCACTGTGGTACACGGAGTGGCTATGAAGGGGAACTGATGGGACAGTGCTTAACGAGAACAACAACAACAACGATTCTCATCACGTCTATTTACAGAGGAGAACATTGAAGCTTCAAGGTGACGGAGCACAGCTGACCGAATAAGACCATACCTGCACTAAGTGACCCCGGTGGATTCAAATAGGGGTGCTCTCATTTCAAAGCAGATGTATTGACCTATGTATTCCACTAAACACTGCCTGTACTGCATTCAGAGCTCTGGGAAGCTAACCAGAGTGTGTAGGTCCGCAGTGGAAAGCCAGATCCCACTTAGGTGGTTTGGTAGGGTAAGGGTTAATTTGAAGTAACTACAGTAAATTAAAATTGTGTCCCTTTCCTTAAGATTGTATCTTTGTCCCAAAACAAGAGAGTTTATCTACCACAGAATAGGTAGAGGCGCTAATGAACTATGCACCCTACTGGGAGGGCCAGGCAAAGGCTCCCGCAGGATGCAGGAGGGTCATTTAGTCCTATTAACATCCCCACAGGACCTTTACAAATCACTGTGCTTTCCTAAGATCCCATGCCAATTTGGGTGACAGCTTTCAAATTAGTGACAAAGGAACATGTCTTCCTGGTCCTTCTTGTATTCGGACCATCCGTTTACAATGTCTCTGTATACTTAATATTTTCCCCTCTTCTTCCTGTATTTTGTTATTCTGTAATAGCATAGAAGCCAAGCCAAACCAAACCAGTTGAGTTGATTCTGACTCATGGTGACCCGTGTGTTTCAGTGTAGAACTTTACTTCTCGTACTTTCCAATGGTTGGCCACTCTAAGTTGGAATCCACTCGATGGCAGTGGGTTTAAAAAAAAACATTTTATTTTATAATATTTCCCCAAACCATTTCATTGAGAGCTACTATGGATATCAGATCATTCCATAGTTCAATCACGTCAAGCATACTGCATAATTGCTATCATCCTCAGTTTCAAAACCCCTCTTCCTTCTTGAACCCCTTGATATCAGCTCCCACTGTACCCTCAGGACTCTTATTCTACTTGCTGCCTCTACGGGCTCATCCATCCTGGGTTTCACATACTGAAAAGCAGAAAACTGTGTGACCTAAATTCAAGAGGGTTACCCTCCATGACAAAATACCTCTGAGTATTTTGTTCCTCAATATGAAAAACAAACAAATGCACAGACAATGTTGAAAACCAGATCACGCCCAACGTGCAACGGGGGAATCCACCGACAGTGTTTGAACCGCTAAAGTCAGGTTGATCATGTTGATCTCCTCTAGTCATCTCTCGAATGCACTCTGTTTGGTGAAGTTTCTTCCCATCCCTCTGTTATGGATAGAGGCGTATTTCCTGTTCAGATCTCAGACATATATCTTGGGCTCCCAATGTCATCCATAGCCTTCTGTAAACCAGAATCTCACAGTTTAGTCCTACGTTTCAGATTATATGATTTACAATCCTTGGGTCACTGATGTTGGTGTGCTTCTTCCATGTGGACTTAGTTGACATCTCACTTAGATGGCTGCTTGTTTGGAAACAAGCCTTTAAGACTCCAGATGCTATTCTATCTGATAGCTGGACACCCTCTAATTTCTTCCATACTTTGCTATAGCACCCGTATCTTCTGTGTTCCCTTCCCGAGGGTGAGTATCGGTGAGGGCCATGACATAAGAACTAACCATTCTTAAATTGGAGCTAGGATTTAGTGCGAGCCCCAAACCTATTCCTGGATCTATGTTTTCTTTTTTCTATCTGCCTTTGGCTTCTTTTAGAGACCTCCTTGCTAATTTATGGTAGAGTCTTATCAATCATCTCCCTGGAGCATAAAGAGCTTCCATTAATATTGTCAATGATTAGCTCCTGGTACACGTTTTTTAAAACACTGTTGAGTGAGGGATATTGGGTCAATGTAGGCTAATTCCATATTGCAATACCTGAATTATTCACTTGTACAGAATAAATCCTTTCATCACTGGATGCTGTTTACACAAACAATGGCAGTTGTTTATCAGGGAAATGTTACAATAGTATTCACTGAGAGTGTCAGTCAAAGGTTTGCTGGAGTAATACATATCTTTTTACAACATATAGGGCATTGATACAGTAAGTCAATGATTGTCTGCCTGCTGATGGTTTAACACTCTTGGTAAGCTCTCTTTTGCTTCTTCAAACACCATAAATTTTCAGTTTTAAGTTCTCAGGTTACAAGTGTGTTTGAGGTAGAGTTCAGCTCACCTAGTGGAGTTTCCACATCGGATCTCCCTGGTGTGGTCTTTGGGGCATGTTGTGCACCGTGCAAATCCAGCATTCAATGCCCCAGTGTTCTATGGCACTTGGCCTGGGTCCCCAGGATGTGCCCAGAAACTCAGGCCAGTATGACTTATTTGGTGCATATTACTAGGGACACTCTCCCCTTAGGGTCCTTAAAAGTATTTTTTGTCATTTTTCCCACCACTTGGAGGTCAGCCCTCCCATTTTTCTATAAGCAGTCACACACTCGCTCTCCCAGATGTGTCTGCTCCTTCCCCCTCTCCTGACTTGACTTTCCCATCAGTATCCCTCAGCCCGCCCCGTAGGGATGTCTACCTGTCTGCAGGGACCTCACCATAACTTTGCATGGCAGCCACTAAGTGGTCAACATCCCCTCCCCTCCCCGTGACAATTTGATCCCAGCTGATGTGAGGAGTCCTTCGCCAAAGTGACTTCAGGATTCATGGCTAGAGAGGATGCTGCATTGTTTATCGGCACCAGTCAGGCTTCCACCAGGCTGTCTGACTAGCTGGCCAGCAGATTGGAAGGGGCTGTCTTTTTGAAAGTAGCTTGCCAGCTCTTTCTTCTGTGTGGATTTGAACCCTCTGAACAGCGAACATTTCTATGAGTATCTGAATGCTTCACCCTCAGGGCCACCCAGGGATCCTCCACGAGAGCATAACATTTATATGCATTTTAAAACTTATTTTCATTTCTGACCTTCCAAATAAGCTGTCGACTACAATACCATCCTGACAGCAGGTTTAGCTCTCTTTATGGTCCATATAATAAAACCATGGATACGTCAGAAAATATCACTTTGACTCGGCATTCAAAAACACTCTTTTCATAATGTTAGCTCAACTAACTGGTTTTTTTTACTCTACTCCCCCTCTTCTTCTTTTTTAATCACCGATGAGACCTGGTGGCGTAGTGGGTTAAAAAGTGGGCTTCTAACTTTAAGGTCAGCAGTTCGGCTTCACCAGATGCTCTGTGGGAGAAACGGAGCCTTCTCCTCCCCTAAAGATTTACAACCTGGTAAATCTTGGAAATCCAAATAATCAGGTCTCCTCTGTTCAAATAGGTTTCTATGTGCAGGAATTGGATGGCAGTAGATTCTCCCCCCACTTTCTGACCACTAACACCCACTCTACCAATCCAATCTACTCCTAGTCCCTTGAATACATACACTGATGTGTAGTGGTCACTCTGCTACTGCTCATGGGAAAAGAGCACCGTGGGCTCCAGAAGGTCAGCACAGCGGATGTGCTTGCATAAAGTGCTGAGCCAGGAGCCAGGGTTGTGACAGTCACTGCTGCTTTGATGCAGCGCTGTTGCTCTGGGAAGTGTGTCTCTTCCCTGCAGAACTGCGGGTGCCACGACTTGTCTACCACAACCTGAGCTCTAAACAGTCGCAATCCAGAGGCTGCGACAAGAAGGCTCGTGTCTCCTCTTCCTGGGTTTTGCTGCTGTTCTTACCAAGGTAGAGAAAAGCGCCTGCCATTTGTGCATCAAAACAGGTAACTTGCGTTGAGTCCCTGTGAGGCTGAGGTAGATGTAATAGAGCAGTGCATCGGAGCCACCGAGACCACAAGCCGGTCAACTGTGTGGAAGTCATTTTCAAAATGTTCAGAGTCCCGCTTTCCTGCTTTTGAAGATACTAGCTTTCTATCAGCCCGTGCACGCTTTGTAGCTGACGTGGTCAAGGTTGGTGATCTGAACCGGAAAACGTCTGAACAACTGGAATTAACCCCTAACCTCAGGACAACAGAGCCCCGGACCTCGACGCTAATCCATTCTAGAAGGAGTGTAGAGATGTGATGCGGTCAAGTTCCGAATCCATTTTCCCATAAGAAATAGCTGAAAATGGATTAATCCGTTCTCGACCACCAAGTTCTTACCCCATCCTTGCCTTTTGATACAAGACATGACACAGAGATATCAAAGTAAATAAGTGCAGACTTAAATAGTATAATTCAAATAAGGAACACAACATTAAAAACGTTTTAAACTATGACAGTATGGCCCCTATTTTGAGATGGATGAGGACCTGGCTGTGTGGACACGGGTGTGGAGAGGAGGGACGGAGAGAGTCCTTGTCTGGAAGGTCAATCCCCTTCCTTAAAACCAACTGGTAGCTGCTTTTCGGGAGTTTCCCCCCACAGCCCTCCTTCCTTACATTTTTCCGCTAGGACCTGGCTGGCTTTCTCTTAAAAAAAAATCTGTCTAATGTGGTCTGTTGTTGGCATTTCTTGAACGGTTTTCTAAAAGTCGCAAAAGGTTTAAAAACCTGACCAATAACGTCAACTAATGCAGAGCAACCCGCACAAGAACTGCTTCTGATTACAAAATCACGCGCGTCGGGTCTGATTCCGATGCTCTGTTTGAGCTCCGGGGCAACATTTTCTCGAAAATGAGGGCTGAAATGCGACTCTGTCAAGTACTGATGCGGCCGACCACTGGGCTCTGCTGTGTGGCCGACCCAGACTCTGCTCTGGAGCCATGAGGACTCAGGGCCTGCGGGTTTCTGAGGCTGTGACTGCTGACGGCGGTGGAGAGCCGGCTTTCTCTGGAGGAGCTGCTGGTGGTTTCCAACTGCCGACCTTGCTGATCGCAGCCCGTGGTAACCACCAGGACTCCCCAGTGCTTATTACAGTGCCTTGTGAGTTAAAAAAAAAACCCCAAACACTAAAATTTACATAAATATATGCAAAGTATTTACCCAAGAAAGGTAAAGACTTGCTCTTTTAATAATGAACTACATGATCAGAAGGTCACATTTTAATTACGGTTTGACATTTGAAACCTTTTTGAATCAAGTCTTTTGGGTTCCTTCCCTTTCAGCATAGAACAGAGATTGACTCTATTTGTTAATAAGAAATCCCAAGATTCGCTATTTCTCGGTGCTGGATATATAGAATTGAGTCTGTGGGAAGGGAAATCATAACGAAATTCTAGTTGCAATTCTGAACTTGAGGTTTTAATGTCTGTCTTAAACTACTTTAAAGGATCTGCCAGTATAAAAGTCAGAATATTTACAAAATTTTGCTCTGCACCACAAAAAAGCAATAGGGTTCTTAAGGCATCCTATTTCCCCCCCTAGATACTAAAGGAAAAAAAGAATTCCTGAAAATTTGAAAAATTACAGGAGGAAAAATAGAATTTACAACACATTTAGTAAAGATCTCTGGTATTGCAAGAGAAGGAGTTCTTAAGACTTGCCAAATTGGGTGGTGGGGGGAGAGGTGAGGTTGTTGATCAGGAATTACTTTTCTTGTGCACCTGGTAGCATGTCAAGATCTGGTTTAGTTCTTAATATTACTTTAGGCTCTAAAATCTCTGAGGCTATTCCAGGTGGAGACTTCCTGAAAGTGAAGCTTCACCAGAAACTTAGAATAGTTTCCCTTTGAAAATGAAAACTATTTTAAATTTATCCACTAGCAAAAACGCAACCTAGGTATTTAAAATATTAAATCTATAATGTATTGAATAGTTAGATAATCACTAATGCCTTACTTAAAATATATGTTTAGGATACAGCTTACTCCATTTTACATTAGGTCAAAATGTGGAAAAGAATACCTTATATCTAATTGATTATTTAAAAAAAAATCAAGTTTAGAGGCTGTCTCATTTGATCATTAAAACAATCATATCCCGCTGAAGACAAAGTGGGTGAATAAGCAAATGTGGTGAAGAAAGCTGATGGTGCCCGGCTATCAAAAGATATAGCGTCTGGGGTCTTAAAAG